CGATTAGTCGACTAATCGAAAAAATAACCATTTGTGGCAGCTCTACTCTGTCACTGAAAATAATTTATTTACCACGTTTTAAAGACCGATTATTATCTGGGCCCTTAAGGGTTAATGCTCCTGAATGGGACTGTCAATGACTTTATTTTGTTTCTGGCCACAAACAGCTGGCTTCCACAGCTGTACGGAGAATGGAGATTTTCCAGACCACCCTTTCTAACAACGCTGCAGTCCTTAAAAGAACAGCTAAAGTCCCATGCTCTAATATGTGGCAAGTTGCCAGTAATTGGCTGATGAGAATATTTTAGCCTGTGGATAATGTTAAGGGGAAACTTTGAATCAGGGTCCTGTTAAGTTCTCCTTTTGGGTCTGGATCTGGACCATAGTCTGCCATGTAAAGACCTCTGTTCTCATAAAAACAACATGATGGTTAGTGTAGGAGTCCAAATCCATTTTTCTAATTGTTTTCTTTAGCTGTTTGATCCTGGTTAAGGTAACAGGAAGCACCTGTGGGGTTACAGGTGGGGTACACCCTGGACAGTCCATCACAGAGTACAAAGCTTATTAATACTTCTACAGCTATTAATAATAATTATTATTATTCAGTCACGTCCTATATGGACTAACATCATGTCTAATCTGTACCCCGTGTTTTTCACACTGACAGCAGGAGATGCACACCAGCTCTCTGCAACCCTAAACGTGGTTTCAGACAGTGGGTGTATGTTTATATCAGTAGTACTGCAGAAAAAGAAAACACAGTAATGCTACCTATATCTGTTTATGCAGACATTGTAGGTTGTAATTGTACTGACTGCACTGTGGTCATTTTGAAACAAGCTTTCATGGCTTCACATTTGTGTGACCAATCAATCTTCTGTGTCTCAGTTCCTCCAGTGATTGTGAAGGAATGGGTCTGTGGAAAGGCCAAGTCAGCCTTGACTCCAGAGCTGGTTCCGGCCCTGTGTTTCCGGGAGTGGACCTGCCCCAACCTGCGGCGGCTGTGGTTAGGTCGTGCCAGTGAGGACCGCTCCAGGAGAACCAGAGCCTTCTTGGCCTGTCTTCGCTCCGACTGCCCAGCCCTCCTAAACCCAGCACAAGTTCCGCAGCATCTCCTGCTCATGTGCTGCGTGCTCAGGTATCACCACGTCCATGTTTCTGTCGTGTTTTTGTGTTGCCACGTGTGAGTCTGCGTCCCACACTGAGATTGTGTTCTTTCAGGTATATGATGCAGTGGCCTGGTGGACGGATCCTCCAGAGACACGAACTCGATGCCTTCCTGGCCCAAGCTGTTTCCAGCCAGCTCTACGAGCCGGACCAGCTCCAGGAGCTCAAGGTGACACCAGGGGTAGACATGAGGATTTTTTTGTTGACAAAATCTGGTTGTCTGCAAAAAAAAATTGGTTGTTCTTTCGAAAAATGGCAAAAATCTCAAGAAAAATGGAATTTAATAAGTAGGGTTGTAAGAAAATATCGATACACTGAAATATCGCGATATTTCTTTTCCCGATACTGTATCAATATTCTAAAGCCCTGTATCGATTTTTTATTAAGATTTAAAATGTCAACTTTCCTGCCAGCCGTTCATTTTGTGTTGTATTTCAGCCTCTGACCACTAATTGGCAGCAGTGAAACATAGCTAATGTCCGGCTGATGATCGCATCAAAGTCCATTTACTTTATCCTGCTGTGTTCGCTTCAAAAAGGGTTTAACTCGTTTAGCTTCTCAATTTCTTAACTGGTTTTCTTCGGGACTTGCCCTGCTGTTCGACCCACAGTTATGCAAATCATATTCTGGATGCAGGTCAGCTGATCCCAGAAACTCTGTGTGCAGCAGCTTCAC